GTCAGCAGCAATCCATGGCGTGGTTGTCGTTGATTGGTGGATACTTCCGATACAGGAGTCTTTGCTGCACGTGGATAGAAGCGGCATCGGCAACAGATCCAGATAGCTTGAGAACGGTGGCTCATGCTCCGTCTTGGTAATGCGGTATTTGCACTTGAATTCGCAGCGGTGACAAGAAGCGGAACCTGCAAACAAACAAATACGAACACGTTGGACACCATGCTTGTATTCGTGCCGTGCCTGCAAGTATAGGTGTGAACGAAGACAACGACTATCACAAAATGTGACTACACGATGTCATGGACTTTAACGAGTATTGCAACAGCTAAAGTACGTTTTAAATGACGTCGTCACGGATAGCCGCTCCTACACATAGTACCGCCAGCACCGACGTGAACTTGCGCACGTTGTGTGTGCGAAGCCGTAAGTAAGCGAGTGCGTTCGCTAGAAGCGGCAGCTTGTGCAAAAGTACTTTATACAGACTTAATCTGACTGTAGTATATCTGTGATGTTCTTTCGGAGGAAGGGGCAGCCCTTCAGACGGAGTTCACAGCTGGTCTATGCGGACCACAATAATGATATTCGCATTCACGGTTGCTACCGCGTGGATATAGGAATTCTGAGAAGCACGAAGCTTCTTATGTTTTCGGCTCTGTTGTTGCATAAAACAGCAACAGAAACTACTGCACAACAGTCTACGTATTTGGAGAGACATAAAATCTACTTGTCACATTATTCCTAATGAAGAGTTAATACTACATAATTATCATCTCTTTATTTATTTAAACGAACAGTTCAGTTACTACCTAACTAGCACGTAACCTTACGACTATTCAAATTTGCGATTCCCTAGATGACTAATGAATTCACTCATTCATCAATAGTTACATTTCGCTCCTTTTTATTAATGGCCAGCTCAGTGTACAAAGGTACTTAATGGGTATGAGCCACAAGGTAATCCCTTCTTTCAGCCTCTCAGCTGCCCGCCTTTCTTTTTTTAGGTCAACTGACCCATCTTCTCACCAAGAGCTGCTAACTTTTCCAGACGCAAAGTGACTTCCAAATAAAGATAAAACCTTGCCCCATGCAAGAAATATCTGCCTAACTCTGCCTATCGAAACACTCTGCCTACTCGTTATCCAGAAACCTGTGCAACACACACAAAATCGTTCCGACAGCACTACGAACAACTTAACGCTCTTTCTCCCAGCTTAGAACACACTGTGCACAAAAAAGTCCTGTTGCGGACGCCATCATAATTGTCACTTGTTCCTTTATTTACGAAGGCAATCGCTGGGCTAATTCTAAGGAGCAATGTGTCAGCCCTCCGAATGCACGGTCCACGTAAGCACAGACAATTTAGATCTGGTCCTACTTGGCGCGCCAGTGGACGCCGGCGATGGTCCATAGAATGAGTCAGGGCCGAGAGTTGATAACAAACAAAAATATATCCTCAAATACAGAAGATAAAACAACATTCAAATATGAACCCTCGGCAATAATCCAGTACCATACGTTCCTATCAGCCAACGAGCTCTAAACGACGGGTACACAACACATTCAGGTACACACAAGGCAACAAACGCAAACAACACGCACTGCAATGAGGTCTGAAGCACTAAACCAACCAAGACACTTAAAGACAAAGAAGCTCATCAGACCTATATAATTCAATAATCTTGGAATAAAGCTTGAATGTATTTTGCCTACAAAGCACTTACTCAAAGTACACCTCAGGTGTCGCTCCGTTGCCCCTGAAGTTCCCCTTCCAGGAAACCTCGCGTCGTCAAATGTCCGCACTCTAAGCCCCAAACTTCTTCGCCGGAAATACGTCGGCTTCTCACGCAGTGCGACTGCAGAACACGTCTTTGCTCACTGGCGGTAGACACACACCTTTCTTCTGGTTGTAGCACAAGATTTCACTCCTGTGGTGGAAAACTTCCTCACCTCAACTGTTTTGTCCCTAAGGACAAAAGCCTTCGCCCGAAGGCGGAACAGCTTTACGCACAGTAGCGCAAACTCTTCTTTTTTCTGATCACCAATGTCTGCTGCTCGCTTAAATATGTTTCATCCTGGGTTCCGGAAAATTCTTCGGCACGTTGAACAGACAATGCCGGAGAAAGGGCGAGCCTTTGCGAGAATAATCCACGACACGTGACGCAACTAGGGGATGACTCGCGCTTTACTTTTTGATAATTTTGGAGGCCACTCGACGAGACGTTTCTAGTCGTTTTGTCGGCGCGCCATACCCTCAGAGCTGCGAAAGGGTGGGACCCCTCTCTCGTAAGGTGACACACCTCTGTATCACCACGCCCTTTTCCTTCGAGATTTTTCCAGCAATCTCTTGACGTCTGATGCGATGAAATTTGTCGGCGTAGAGACGCTTTTGAGGGGTGAATCGGTGCCCCCAAAGAGTCTTTCCATGCTTCTTTTCTGCTTTATTGCTGGTTTCAGGGCCAAAAGTGTGGCGCCTGGCATTGTCTAGTCACCAGACATTGCAGGCTCACGCTTTCTTGAGCGCTAGTTTGTGACAATGTATCTTAATACATGACGCGCACGCCATTGTTATAATTATTAGGCGTGACATTTACCTTCGTTGTGCGTTTGAATTACGTAATACCAAATTCGGTACATATGAAGCTTGCAAAACGGCCGTGAGCGCATGATGAGCGTGGCATGCGAAATGTCCTTACAAGGCACCCATGTCGTCATTATATGTTTTGACGTCTCATTTGCCTTTGTCGTCTGTTCGCGTCTCATCATGCCTGAATTGGCTAATGTGAAGCCAGTGAAACGCCCGACAGCACATCTTGAGCGCGGCATGTAGTGTTGTCTTTACATGACACGCATCTCATGATTATCATCACCTGCCATATACCTTCATCATTCATTCACGTCCCGCAATACAAAATTTTGTATATGAGAAGTTAGCGAAACGACCACGAGTGCACCATGAGAGTGGCGTGTAGTCACCGTTTACACAACGTGCATGTCATGATTCCCACGTTAGGGTCTGTCCCCTGTTTTCGCCACACAGTAATGTCATACCATACGGGTTTTGCTATATGTCATGTCAAGAAAACTACAAGAGCAGCAAGATTGTAAAAAGTAAATCTGGACATTCATGACATACATGTGATCATTCTCGTGTTATGACCAGTCACTTATGCTGGTCATAACATACAGTCATGTTACGCCGTACACAATGTTGGTATCTATATCATTATTGAAACAGCCAGGAGAGCAATATGTCGTAGGCGGATAGATAGATAGATAGATAGATAGATAGATAGATAGATAGATAGATAGATAGATAGATAGATAGATAGATAGATAGATAGATAGATAGATAGATAGATAGATAGATAGATAGATAGATAGATAGATAGATAGATAGATACGCTCAATGTCACCGAAGTTCGCTAAGAAATGCTTCGCATTTATAAGTGTTTTGCTACACAGTCATGCGTCTGCTTAGAAATACAGAAAAAATAACCATCTCGGTATAAAAAAGCTGTGAATATACTTTTGTACATTGCAAACACACACGTCCTCTACACAGGCATCACAATACAACATGCAATATTGTATAATATTGCGTGGTCGAAACGTACATTGCCATTGCGCGTCAGAGCATTTCATTATCATACTGACTTTGTGGCTTATTGCCAGCCACCCGTTACAAAAGGCACACTGGCGCGTATTTTCCTTAAAAGGACACAAGGAGTACATAGCAAGTTCGAAAAAAGGTCAGATGCCTAATTGGGCGTGCCTTAAAACATGCTACCTATTACACAGAATGCCGCAATATACATAGGCTTTGTTGATAGAACCCATTTTAACTTTATCAATTACAGTTTAGCAATACGCCATTAATCCCTATTCAGTAACATCATATAGTAAAAAAGTAGGCACAAAGTTGTTGATGTAGGCAGTAGGGACGTTATATTGCTACAATAATTATTTCCTAATAGCGAAGCCTAATAGACCCTAAATTCCTGTTTGGTCATTATCGGTGTAGAGCAACTACATTTATCTCTGTCAACCAAAAGAATTTTTTAGCTAGAAAAAGCAATTTTTCATTACCTCGGTAATATTTTAAATCATTTGTTTTGAAGACCACTCATGTGGGTACTGAGGTTCAACTCATACATTATTATAGCAAATTTTCATTTCGCGCAACAAATGGCGCCAACACAATTATATTTTTGGGAATACCTACTTTCAACCGTTCTAGAGCATGCACACCCATTATGTATCAATGTTGTTTTTATTCCTATTCATTCAAGCTATTTCTTTGGCTGCTGGTATTTGCACCCATCTTTTAACTCGTAGCCTAAAACTTTTAAGCTAGTAATGAAATGCAAAAAAGAATATAAATATATTTTGCTTGCCAGCAGAATAAAGTTATAACGTATATTGGTGTTTGTGAATTTGTGCCCAACCAAAAGTAGATAAATCATCATTGTTCAAAGAGAAAGAACATGGGACTTATATACCTAATATCAAATACCTATGGCTGTGCTTTGGGGCCTGTCTTCCTAGGTGAAGATTCAAAACAACAAGAATAACTTGCACAAGAACCGTCGCTCTACTCTTGGAGGACGCGCATAATCATTCTAGTAGACCGCATGAGTTTCTTTATCACAATCAGGCCCCTAGACTACGGGTTGAATAGGAAAAGGCTTTTGCGCATTTAATTTATTTCTCCCCCAATGAAAGTGCTCCACCACTATCAAATAGAACCAGCATGCTTACATAATCATATTAAATACACGCAAGATAACTGTTATGCGGCTGCATAAAAGCGTCTTATGTTAAGCAGAGTCTAATGTGCAAAATCATTCCACAGACTATACAAAGAACGCCAAAATTAAAAAAAAAATTAGAGTGAGCGCACGCATTGGTGTATAAGTGTAGTTTCAATATGCCTTGCTCACTAAGCAAATTGATGAATATCGAGTTTAAGCTAAGCGTAAATACTAAATCATTTCTTTCAGGTGGTCGGATACATTTGAATAAGGCTACTCATGAAAAGCCACCTCCAGAGCGAACACAGACACCATCCCATAACATAGCTGATCATTCACAGAAAGCACATCCAGATGCCGCCAAGCTTCTCAAGGTAATATACTTCTCTTTAGAATATTCCACAAAATGTTGTTTTCGCTATTTGGGGTCTGACAATAGAAGAAAAAGTAAATTTGCTGTATATACTTTTTTTCAATTTTGCGTTGATTTGACAGCTATGGGGTAATTCGTACACTTTTGAATGCGGAATATGGAACATCATTGTGTCTACAGACGTTTTTTCGCCGAATATATAGTGACAACTTGAATTTCAGCAAAAATATGATTAGGGTAATTTTTGTGAGACAAAACATATGCTCTGCCAGATAGAACTAGAGGACGAAGTGGAGGAAAAAAGTCACTAGCACAGCAACCTTCATAATCTTAACAGGTGAATCAATAAACTAGAGTTATTTGACCAGTTTTGAATATAATGAACGCTGAATATTGCGAGTGACCCTCGTTACAGAGGGCAAATATGACTATGTTTTTTCAGCTCTACAAACGACAGATGTTACAAAGTAGTTTGTTCTTATGTAAAGTCGCTAACTTTCACACCAACATTTTTTATTGGCCTACAAGGCACCACGAATATTGGTATGAGCCTCACCCACGCACTAATTACGCCTTTCAAGCGATAAGCTATTTATTGCCTTCTCTGATTATCAAGTTCAGTTTTGTTCACACTACGATAAACGCACAACTTTTTACTCTCTTTGATACCCATTTACTCATGTTTGCATTACCCACGATTTTAAATTTTCTTATGACACAACTTTCTTCAAATGCACTCGAGGAAAAGAAAGCGTTTGTATTATTGTTCATTTTATTGCGCACTCTGTTCGCTTGTTTTTTCTTCTATATTTTCAGTTTTTTGTATGTGTCCTTTTTGCAGCGTGTACACCACTCCACCGGTGTGTGCGTGTGTGTGTGTGTGTGTGTGTGTGTGTGTGTGTGTGTGTGTGTGTGTGTGTGTGTGTGTGTGTGTGTGTGTGTGTGTGTGTGTGTGTGCGTGTGTGGAAGGGGGGGGGAGGAGCGCTTCGTCAAGCCGCAACTGATTGGCTTTTTTACTTCTACACAGACATGTTTTTATTTACACATGTCTAAAAAATATTCATTTCGAAAAGTTCCTAATAAGGATGGGTGTTTAAACAGGAATGAAAGGTTATGGCGTATGCCCTGAAATATTAATTTCAAACCGAGTTCATTGAAAGCCACCATACTAGATAACTGAATTACCAAATACGCAACACAAAGACCAAATAGGTGTTTAGCGACCACTTCTTTAATGCGAATGTTTTTAGCCACCCAGATACCGGTTTTTCTATCACCACAATGGTATATCATCGAGCTGATTCAGTGCATTTATTTATTACTCCACGTTTTTGAGCGCTTTCTGGGTCGCATTTCTTGTCAGTTATTCTACCCTTCCGAACAACAATCCTTTCACTGTCTGGCTTCTATACTGAAAATACAAGGAAGATGTCCCCAATCATTTAACTGTGGGCTTTCACGAGGTTTTCATTACCTAAAACTGGGAAAAGTAAGTGATGTAGAGACACCATTACAGTAATCAATTACCCAGAAAATTATTACAACTCATGATTGCACAATGTTTCAAAAACAGAGCTAACAAAATATATGAATAAAAATAAAGTGATCTGCCGCAGTGCTAGATACGTCACATAATCTACATATGGCTTTCAGTAGCAACATATCAGTGGCCTTGCATGAACTCCTCGTTTATAGAAAGCAGTGATACATATATCACTTGCAGGCTAGTATTGATGGTATGTAACAAGCGTTCATTGTTGAAGAGTTATTACACAATTTTTACAATGGCATTGCTCATTGTCTTCGCAGTTTATTCAAAACAAAAAACCTATTTACCTTGTGATGGCTATAAGAAATGAAATGCCTGGTGTCCTGAGAGACTACCATGTCTGTTTGAAATCTGCGTTCATTACAAGAACTTCCTATGGGGCATACCGTACGCTAAGCAATTATAAATTTGTACAACTCATGTAAGTACGAATTCCATTTAGAATATACTGAAGGTGATATCATGAAAGCTAAATGTTGACTGCAAAATTTCATTTGAATGCGCGAGTTTTTAACAAATCGGTTCAAATATTCGCCTACCTGTGCGGAACAAATACCACAATTTACACTACAAATATATTATAAACGTTTGCAATAAAAAAACCTTAGTCTTAGAAGCCAGATGCCATCTGCAGTGAAGTGTTTACCACGGGAAGTCGCCTGTCTTAAAATAAAAATGGCAGGGATTGATGATCCTACAATGGTGTGGTAGAGAGCAGACACAAGCGGGGTGTGCATCAATCGTCACTTGAACGAAATGCGCTCAAGACTGATAAGTGGTTCGCTCTAAATGTGCAATAGCATTTCGACTGCCAACAACTTCTAAAAAAGGAGTAGCTAGATGCAGGAAACCTTGTGGGTATGCACTATGCCCAGTTTGCCTCATTCGCACGTGAGGTGTAGTTTTGCTAGACTAATATACACACAACACAGCGCAGTAGTAGCGAGCCCGTCAGAGACAACAGGTAGGAAGTATTTGTTCATTGATCACGCACATTCGGACACCTAAAAACCAATTTTTGCACCATGAAGCAATTCATCTAATTCATTTCGTGTTTCAGAAACACCATTTCTGTTTTAATAAAAAATATTTAAGGAGCCCTGACACAATTTTGATATCCTAAAAACAACTGTTCATCAATTCAAAGCATTTTTCGGTGACATTTCTCATATCTATCTATCTATCTATCTATCTTTCTATCTATCTATCTATCTATCTATCTATCTATCTATCTATCTATTATCTATCTATCTATCTAGCCACCTACGACTTTTAGCTCTCCTGGCCGTTTGGATAACGGGATCTATACCAAAATTGGTATGGCATAACACGACTGCATGATTAGCACAAGCAACAATTCCTAACATCAAAGTTATGACAGGTACGTCATGACTGTCATGATTTAAATGTCATAGTCTTGCTGCTCGTGCAGTCGTTTAGCTCACATGGCATATAAAACTGGTATGGTATGACATGATAGCACGGCGAACATAACTGGCAGGCCCTATTGTGAAAATCATGACATGCATGTCATACAAGTCCAGAGTACACGCCACGCTCATAGCGCGTTCACGGTCGTTTTGCTAGCATCCCACATAGAGAATTTTTATTACGTAACGTGAATGGATTCTGAGGTTTGTAACTGGTGTAAACATAATAACTATGACATGCCTGTCATGTAAGCGCATGACTACAAGTCACGCTCAGTGTGCGCTCGCGAATGTTCTGCTTGCTTCGCATGTACCAAATTTGGCATTACGTAAGTTGAATGAACGACGAAGCTAAATGGCATGTCCAAACGTGTTAATTAAGATATGCGTGTGATGCAAGAAATTACTATATGCTATGCTCCTACCACACTCGCAGCCGTTAAACTAGCTTCACGTATACCAATTGTGATGTTACATAACGTGAATTGTCGATGCAGGCAAATGACAAGCCCAAACATGATAATCATAACATGGGTGTTATGTAAAGCATGACTAGCTTCTATGGTCACTGCGCACTCACGGCCACTTCGCTTGCTTCACATACACAATCATTAGTATTACGTGACGTAAATAGACGACGAACACAAATACCAGGCACGAACATAATAGTCATGATCTGGAAGTCATGTGCAACACAGGTTCTGGTGACATTGAACCGCTCTGGTGACATTGAAGCAAATGCGGGACCAACTACGTGCTCAGAAAATCTATTAGATATCGAATTTCTGCCTGAAAACCCAACTGAGCAAATGTCTGTTCTTTTTAAATTGATCAAGGATATTCATACAAGATCATTACAAAGTGCAAAGGTTCAGAACGAATCAGCAGCTGATATGAAGTCAATTAAATGCGGCCAGAAGAACATAGAGGCAAAGATTATCGCCGTACAAAAGCGCCTCGACAACCTCGAGCAAAAATCGGAAGTCCTCGAGAAAGTTGATGAAGAGCTATCTGAAGTGCATGCTTCGGTCAACAACCTCGAAGCAAGCAATTTTTCACTCCAGACACGACTTGATGACTTGGAAGATCGATCACGGCGAAACAATCTTCTTTTCTATGGTTTTCCCGAATGCAAAGAAACATGGCAGGAGATAGAAGCCAAACTAACCTCTAAAATAAAGTCAGTTTTAAGTACCTTCACAGGCAGTACGATTGAGAGGGCACACAGGCTAGGTTCCTTTTCTCCTACCAAGTGCCGCCCGATAATTGTCAAGCTTACTGACTTCAAATCTAAAGAGCAACTTTTTTCGCTCCGAGGTCAATTAAAACAAAGAAACATCGGTGTATCGGAAGATTTTTCAGCAACCACCCGCCTCGCCCACAAAAAGCTAACTGAATTTCGTAACAATCAGCCTAATGCTGCATCCTTTAAACTTCGCTACAATAAGATGCTAGCTAACGGCAAGTGTTATATCTACAATACTAACCTTGGCATCGTCGAAGAATCGCAATCACAAGCTTCTTACGCAGGCCACGCTCAACATCAACCTACAAACAGTTCACAATAGGGAAGCAAGAGGGGAGATGGTCTATTACCTGCTTCTAAAGCGAAGCTATCCTTCCTTTATTCAAACACAAGAAGCATTGCTAACAAGTCTGACTCCTTATCATCCACGATAGATTTGTACGGCGCTCATGTGATTGCACTTACTGAAACGTGGCTTTCTCCAAATACACATGAAAATGAATTGTTTGATAATGCGCTAGACTTTACTATTTATCGCTGTGATCGCACACTGCGCCGAGGGGGAGGCGTACTCTTAGCTATATTAAAATGCCTTCCATCGTCATGTATACAGATTAATCACGACATTGAAATAGTATGGGTTCTGCTAACAATTCATCACTTAAAAATCATCCTAGGGGTATGTTATCTGTCGCCTTCATCTTCGGAAACGTTCATAAGTGAACTCCACGATTCCATAAACACGGTCGCTTCGCGTTTTCCTATCACGCCTCTGTTTTACTAGGCGATTTTAACCTGCCCAACTTAAATTGGAACACTGATCCACCGAGCTTATCACCTTTTTCAGCACAATCCAAGGATTTCGTAGATATGTGTTCTGTTTTTTGGCCTGTGTCAACTGGTGACCCAACCTACAAGAATAACCAGTACCACTTCAAGCACCCTTGACCTTATCTTGAACAACTCGCCTGATCTAGCCTCTGAAATCACTTATATGCCTGGTATCAGTGATCATTCTATGCTTGCTTTTCACCTTAAAATGCCACCCCCAAAACGAACCAAAGTGAAAAAACTCATAGTCGATTACAGTAGTGCAATTTCGATGCCATTAATGACGAACTATCGAACTTTGTTGCTTCCTTTCTTATCCAGTTCAGTGATCGCTCTGTCCAATCGAACTGGAATATTTTTGCTGCAAAAGTAGACGAACTTACTAATAAATACATTCCTAACCAAACCATCATTTCTAATCACCAGGCACCATGGTACAACACCTACATCAAATGCCTATCTAACCGTAAAAAACAACTTTACAGATCAGCAAAACTAGCGCCTTTTGAAGACCGTTGGGCGATTTACAAAGCAGCGCAGAACGCTTACCTTACCGCCTTAAAATCCTCTAAATTACATTTCCTTTCTTGAACTCTCCCTGATATGCTTGCAAATAATGTACGTAAATTTTGGCGCTTAATTAACCCTTTACCAGATAACACCATAGTTCTAGTAGATGATTTTGACAATCCAGTTCCTACTGACATGTACGCCGATCTACTTAATGACACTTTTAAAAACAACTATTCTCGAGTTGTTAACGTCATCCAACCCCATGTGCAAAACTTCACTTATATTGCCATGCCACCAATTTCCATTGAACACTCCGGTATCGCTAAACTCATAGATAACTTGCCCATTCACTCATCCCCTGGTCATGACAATATTGGTACCGAATTTCTGAAAAGCACCGTTACTTACAGTTCAGTGATACTAACAAAAATCTTTCAACAGTCCTTAGATACATCAAGCATTCATACACAATGGAAAATCGGGAGAGTGGTCCCAATCTTTAAGTAAGGCAATAAACGCTCTCCGAAAAATTATCGCCCTATTTCATTAACAAGTACTTCCTGTAAATTATTAGAACATGTCATTTTCACCAACCTCATGAACTTCCTTGAATCGAACTCTTTTTTTACACCAGCACAACATGGTTTTCGCAAACATTTTTTATGCGAAAAACAGCTCATATATTTCACTCACAAACTGCATCACATTTTAGACCGTTCATCATGTGCTGATTGCGTTTTTTTAGACTTCAGTAAGGCTTTCGATAAAGTCTGTCACCAACTACTACTGTTCAAACTGAGCCTACTAAATATTGACAATAGTTTACTCAAGTGGATTGAGTGTTTTCTGTTTAACCGTGTTCAATATGTTACTGCTAACAATCACAATTCGTCATCTGCTGCGGTCCACTCAGGTGTACCGCAAGGGTCAGTTTTGGTCCACTTTTGTTTCTAATTTATATTAATGACCTCACGTCTTCACTTTCTTCTAACGTTCATCTTTTTGCAGATGACTGCGTCCTTTTTCGTGAAATAACTAGTAATAATGAAAGTTTAATCCTCCAGTCTGATCTTAACACAGTAACAGCTTGGTGCAGCACATGGCGAATGGACTTAAACATCGCTAATTGTAAGGTATTGCGCGTAACTAGATCGGCTAACACCCCACCTAAATACTACTTAAGTGACTTCCCGCTTGATCCAGTCTCCTCGTATAAATACCTGGGCATTCTTATCACATCTAACTTATCTTGGGCACCCCACATCACATACATTACTAATAATGCTAATCGCTTGTTAGGCTACATACGTCGTAACTTTTCAAAAGCACCTTCTGCACTAAAACTTCTATTGTACAAAACATTATTACGTTCCAAACTTGAATATGCATCATCAGTGTGGG